TACAAAATTATTGTCAAAAAAAATACATATTTTCTTTTTTAGAAACATAATGTGGTCAATATCACCATTTTGAGTCCATATCTATTGTCTTCAATGCGACTTCAAACATCGACATCGTCTAAACTTTGACTTTACAATGAGTGTTACTGAATGAGGTACTTCCCAAGTATTAAAATATCTCTAAAAGACGTATACTCCATTGCAACTGTTACATTCATTTTATATTTTAATAACATAACCTGAAAGGTTGATTTGTGTTAGAAATTAAATATCAGGCAACTGCAACTTCCGGTTGAGTGCAGATCAAACCGGAAGTATAAGTTATGTGCCCCTATATCATAGAATATGACATGTGTATCAAGGACGAGATAATAGATGTCTAATTTAAAATGTCCACAGAACTTCTGACTATATCTGGTTCACACTGCGACAGAGAGTTTCGTATAGCACAAATGAACTATCAGATATGCAAAACAAATTAAGAATCTTGAATTTTAAAATTCAGTTATGAACAAACGCCATCTAATTAATGGTTGGTATTGATTTTTCCAGCATTTAAGCATATTTCATTAGACTTTAAGGATAAAGCTGAGCTGAATCCACAATCGAGAAATCTTCAAATAATTATCGCAATAGTATGTACATTATTGTATTTTGAATCATTTTTTGAAAGTAATTAAAAGCAGATGCATTCATTTCTTAACATATTTTTCAATAAAATATAACAAACAAAAAGCATGGCCTCACATACCATAACTAAGGTTTGTTTCAAGACCGTTGGAATTTTCAACAAAGCGCTCATGACAGAGAACAAAGAAACCACATGGTAACTACAATGTAATTTTATACTTTATACGAAAAGCGCTCTAATTTGGTAAGATACATTACAACATAAGTAAAATTCTTGACCGACACTTCAATTTGATGTTTGACAGTTCAACACCACGAGATGTTGTGGCACTGTGGGAATTGTTTTATTGCTTAAAGTTTACGAAATACAAGATAGAAGATATGTCGAATTGAATTCATTATCCAAACGACAACGCCGAACATATTGATATAATCAAACCATTACAAAGACAAGACTACATAGTACCAACATCTGTGAGTGTATACAGACTACTTACATTCAGCAAAAATAGAATAAACGTCTTCATCCATTTTAAATGTGAAGAAGGAACCGGATCTCGCCACTTTACAAACACAGATCTCGTCTTGGAAATAAACCTCCGTCCGATCTGAACTTATTGGTACTTTGTAAACGATATATAGTGTATCTCCGGAAACAAGTAGTAACCGTACTATAATTAGATAGAACCTGTCATACCGTACAAAGAAATTGTCTATATCCAGATTACTAGACACAGGCGTTAGACAAGGGATACAAAAATATGTCCGCCTAAATGTATAGTAGGTATAGAGGTGGTTTTGCGGATCTGAAAATGCGTAAGGTGGGATGGGGAAGGGAAGAGGCGATAACATCGTGTATTTGTTTAATTGTATCGATTTCTAGACGATATATTCGAAGTGTTGGTCACAATTGTGTTTTAAATTGTGGTGGGGTTTTTTCACTTTTGAAAAATATTGTTTTTTATGAATCAGTGTTACCTGTGAAATATGCCCGCGAGCCATTCGCTGGATCTTCATAATCAAGGCAATATCACATTTAGCTACCATTTTGGCTTCAGATGTGCCGTGAAATAACAACAAATATCAAGTGGTGTAGAGTCTTCCCGTATTTTTTTTACTTTATTCTGTGGCATGAATTACCTTTTCCAAGAGCCTGTGTCTATAACGAGATCGACAAACAACGACAGACTTAGGCTAAACCTGGCGAGATCACTGGCGTGAAACATAACACCGTAATCATGTTCTTATATATACAAAACAATTCACGTGTGTGGTATGACTTTTAAAAGGAATGCCAATCAACCCCGCTATCGTTAATTAATTGTCGATAACAATCGATTTAATTCGAGGTTCATTTCCTGCCCCGATTACAACGTAACAACTGTATGAGACACCTAAAGAGCATGCCAAGATTTGTAGTCTATAATGATTAATAGGGTTTGTACTTTTAAAAGTTCTGAGCGTCGATATTTGATTGTTTTGTCTAGGGTTCATATCAGCTAATTAATTAGATATACTATAGTCTATATAAACGAGACGCACGTACATGTACACAAGACATAGTACTGGTAGGTAATAACTAAAATATTTTGTTGATTTTTCAAAAGATTTGTTCGCTTATTGGTATTCATGTATTAAGTTATATATTATAGTTTTATAATATATAAGTAAATACATGTATACCAAAAATAGATAAAGTTATAATTAATAATTTGCTTTATTTTTACAACAGTTATGAAACAAGTTATTTCAACTAATATTAATCACTCTTGTTATCCCGTTGGTTAGCGAGCGTGGTTCTGAATGTAGAGGAAACCGGAATACCCGGAGAAAACCGACCTGGTCGAGCAGGCGGCCTAATACCTGTTCGCGTCCGATCGTGGAGTCGAACCCCGGCCGCCTTAGTGAAAGCCATTACGTTTTCCACTACGCCACCCGACCATCACATTTACTTATTGTATACATATAGAAACGCACCGTCAATCCTCATTTCTCTGTCGTAACTTACATTCGAACTCCAAACCTCATGTGTTGGAGCATCCTCGATACTCCAGGGGTAACGCTCACTTACGTTTTGGGAGAGTGTAGGTGAGCCTAAACCCTGGAGTATCGAGGATTGTGATGTAATGAGTGTAGTCAAAATCAAATTAATCATAATAAGATGATCATTATCCCTGCTGAACGTTTATAGTCTATTGTTAGTCTATGTCGAGATATAAGCCTTTTGGCAATGACTGAAGAAAAGCACAAAATGAAATCTAAATTTAGGCCAAATGACAATGATCATACACACAGGGTCAAGATGTCAGCATATTGACAAAACGTTGCGCATACAAAGCCTGAATGTAGGCCTAATGGCATGAACCTCAAACATCCAAGATCTAAATACAAACTTATTGACGATGACGAAATGTACATGTTAGCCTATTGACAATGATGAAAAAACGGCAAAAGGTCTAAATGTAGGCCAATTGACAATGACGTCATACGCCCAAGGTCTAAAAGCCTACTTCTTCTAAAAACTATGAATGAAACAAACAGTTGCAGATTGATTAAAAGAATGCACATTTATAATGTTTTCATATATAAGTATGCGAAAGTGAATGGAGTGGTATATGACACTAGAGAACTGAGAAAGTAACATTCGATTTTAAGTAGAGAGTATCTAGAAGGCGTTTTACGATCACTAGCCCTTTCGCCACTGGGTCGCGGGTTCGAGGCTAACGTGAGGCGGTCGGCAAGAAAATATCGCAGGTCGATGTTTTTTTCCGGGTAATCCGGTTCCCCCAACATCAAAACCTGGCTCGTCCTTAAATGATCGTAGTTGTTAATAGGATGTAAAGCACAAACCACCAATTTAAAGCAGATTATCATCAATGAAGCTGTTAAGAGAAAGTACATATAAAACACACTGTGTAATATCCCCTGATTTTCGGCATTATTTCCACGTTTAAATATTCGAAGCCCTATTTTGAATTTCCAGCATCACATAAACTCTGAAGTTGCCCTGAATTACAGCTACAGGAATCGTACAATTGAAGCTCAAAGGTCTTGATTGATTTTATTATTTTGAAATTGCATATTTCGGAGGATCCAATAAATATATAATTTTGAAATATATAGATTGATCAGACCTTTGAGCTATGGGTCCAACAACTGCACTGAATTCAAATTGTAAATGGTGTTAGAAGAATTTAGCGCTTAGCATAAGCCCTCTTTACGAAACTGCCGTAAACAAATAATTTTCCTCTAATAACTAAGCCCTGGTAAGGTTGTAAACTCCATTACACTTGGCTACCATGTAAAGTTTGCTCCGAACTGTATCTTATCGATTAAGATCAGGCTTATTAACTGTTTACAAAACCTGTGACACCTTTTCATTTGAAGATACAATCGTCTTGTTCCACAAAAATTGATTTGTTTCGGGTTGTGTGCATTAAGGACGTGCGAATGTTTGGTGGCGGAGGATAGCCGGAGTGCCCGGAGAAAACCCAAGGCCCTGCAGTAAGTACCTGGCGACCGTCCCATGTAGGCCTCGAACCCGCGACCCACTGATGGAGAGCTAGTGATCGTAGACAGTCAGAAGGCCACCGCGACCCCCTTCTTGTTCAATGAAATGCTACTAAAACTATGGTATTCTATAGTACATCAAAACACCTATCGGGACAGAATGTCAAGTGTCAAAATATAATGGCATTGGTTTATATTTTGTATTTTTCGTATGTTTTTAGGGAGTTTTAATTCATAAACAAAAAAAGGAATGATGACAATATATTTAAATACAGCAGACATTTATATTTAGCGTTCCTCCTTCTCCATCCCTCTATATTATACTTTGACCCCCGTTGCCCGACCCCCTTCCATTTGTATCTCTACTTCTTTAAATATTTCAGAAATGCTTGAATTGCTGTTATGTGCCACAATTCTAAGGATACAGATTTATAGATGTGTATATCAATTGTCTCTTACTCTTTTTTATTGTATATACATTTTGTATCTCGTCATATATTCGTGCTTTGTATCAAAGAAAGATATAAAGTTTAAACTAAAACTAAAGTCTTTACTTTTGCGGTCCCTAATTTTTGCAGATTCAGTTCTAGTGACCATGCCACATATAAGCTTTAGTATGAACAGATTTGTTTGTTATTTTACTTGACGATCGTATTTTTCGCGGAAATTTTATCAAAAATACTTTACCTGCATGTTTTACCAAAACAAGCACCGATTCGGACCATGGTGACCGTACGGTACATGGGTATACACCATTCTGCTTACCTGTAACAGTAGTTAAAATACACTATAGTCACCAACATTATCTTAATATATACCTTTTGTTTTATATTAATGAGATGAACTTAATCTATTATTACCTTCTGTCCTGCAGTATCCAGACCGCGTATACATGCGCATGTCTGTAATATCTCCCTAAGTAACGATAGAAGGTGTCTTTAAAAGGTGTCCTTGCTTCGTAAACATCCATATATATGTGCCCGCACAAAATAGTCGATAAAAATTCCAAGAGTTCAATATTCCATATGCTTGCCAAACACAGTTGAGGTATTACGTGGAGTTCCTCGGCCTCAGTCCAGGATAACGACGGTCGATAATGTTCTTTATGTAGTTGTAAGTGTAGAATTTACAATATCTTTCCTTTGATAAGAGCATAAATATACGGATAAAACAGGCTATCAAATAAAACCTTGTCTAGTTCAGTTATGTAGCTGACAGGATACCTTTGAGTGAGCTAAAGTATTTTGACCTATAAAAGTCACTTTCCTTTAACTGACTTTCCAATAAAGATGTTTTGATGTGTCGGTATAATCCTGCTATCGTCCATTAAACTTATTGTAAGTTTTTGCCATGATGCTTTGTAACATATCCTGAATACTTCGTTTTAGATAAAACTCATTCTCATGTATTAAAACACACATCAGCAGATCTTCTTCGTAGGTATTCAAAACCGCGTTAACTGTTACATGGTTTGAAACGCTTTCCTTTCACAAAAGGTCAAAACGGAGTTTAAATAGCCCGTGTGTACCAATATTGAACAATAATCGCTGACGAGCTCTTTCACTTTCACCGTGTACCGCTATCACAGGTGGTTGCTTGTCATAAACACACGTAGCGCTGTGTTTCAGTGACTTTTTCGATACCTATAGACCAATATATATAATGTATAGGCCATGGTACAATGTAAAACTGTATTTAACTTAAGGCTACATGTTACTAATTGTAAAACTTTCAAAAGAATTCCACACAGCCATTTTAAAACTCAGGTTAAGAATTATGATTATGGTATGTTACTTGAAAAATAGTTATTTAGGGGTGATAACTCTAAGACCAATTGTGATATGTGATACACGTTCAAACGCCCTTAAATAGGAAGAATAAAAATAAAATATATAAGTTTTCTATCGAAAATATGGACACTGATTATATGGCGAAGGACCACTAGGGCAACTCCTGGTGACACTATGCAGACATGAATGAAATAAAGAGGGGCTAAATGACAGCTCCTTGTGGAATTACAAAGGCAGGCATTAAATGGAGACGGCAACTAGGGGCGGTCCTTGTGATATAACTCAGACATGGATTAACTAAAGAGCGGTACTAGGAGAGAGTACTGTGTTGTACATTGTAGTCGATCTAATCAGATCTGCCGGTCCCCATTTATATATCAATAAACATTAATATACTATTATCAATAAAATATTAATATATACACACACACACCCTTCTTTTTCCAATATTTCGTTTAAAAATTCGACCCTTGTTTGTACAGAATCCAAACAACATTATTTATAGGAAATCAGTTTTATTTTTAAAAGCACCAGTTAAGAAATGTCAATTTCAAATAGACCTTGGGGGGACAAAAACAGACCATGGAACGAATTGTATCAATGTAAAAACAAAATGAGCACAGGTTCAATTAAAAATTGATTGGTTAACCATTTATCTATGCAAGTATATATAAACTGAAAATCAATTAAATCTATGTCAATAATCCCCATTTAAGTAGCACATGTTGAACTTTAGTTGTAGGGAGTGAGTTTTTATCTTCCAGTCAGTGATAAATGGGAGATAATTAGTATTGACATATCAGCCTTTACAATAGTTAAACACATACAAATACTCGGGTTAATGATATATCAATAAACCTTGATAACATTTCTGTCTCTCACAAAATTGTCCTCGCTTTTACAAAGCATGCTTTTATAGATATTTACAGTGGATATATTGTGTACAAAATGTTGAACTTGTAAAGTTTGCTCTTAAATTCCTGTCTGGTCTGCCTACATTTATATCAATTGAAATGTCTACAGTGTTTTAAATATCAGAATTGGTCTCGTAGATAGTATATATTTTACAGTTCAGTAGCAGGTTGAAAAATAGAAAAATTCGGTATTCTTACCTCATTAGCAATTGTCTATAGCATTTCTCATCAATACCTTAGGTCCAAGTTGCGAGGATTGAACAATAACATATTTGGTCCTTCGATGAAGCTTTACAAACATTATCACAAGTCCCTATATGACTAGAATAACAATACCGCCCCTTTTGAGTTGGTGAATACCGACATTGTGTCCAACAATGTAATGCAAAAACACAGAACACACAACCCTGTGACAAATATAACATCAATAAAACAGACCCACGTGACAAATATAAAATCAATAAAACAGACCCATGTGACTAGTATACATTTATCAAACAAAACAGACCCCTGTGACTAGTATATCACAATCACAAAAATAACTGTGACTAGTATATCACAATAACACAGACCCCTGTGACTAGATTATCAAAATAAAACAGACCCCTGTGACAAGTATATCACAATAAAACAGATCCCTGTGACTAGTATATCAAAATAAAACAGATCCCTGTGACAAGTATATCAAAATAACACAGACCCCTGTGACTAGTATATCACAATAAAACAGATCCCTGTGACTAGTATATCACAATAAAACAGATCCCTGTGACTAGATTATCAAAATAAAACAGACCCCTGTGACAAGTATATCACAATAAAACAGATCCCTGTGACTAGTATATCAAAATAAAACAGATCCCTGTGACAAGTATATCAAAATAACACAGACCCCTGTGACTAGTATATCGAAACAAAACAGACCCCTGTGACTAGTATATCACAATAACACAAACTCCTATTACTAGTATATCAAAATAAAACAGCCTCCTGTGACTAGTATATCACAGCAACAGACCCCTGTGACTGATATTATATCTCAATAACAAAAAAATCTTGTTATTAGAGTTATTGCAATCACACAGACCCTGTGACTGTAGTATATCACCATAACACATACTAGCATATATATTAGAAAGAAACATTACAATATTTAAGATAAATTTCTCGTAATATTTTGTTGTGCAAATGCCGTTTGACATCTTGCATGTTACTTTTATTCAGATTTTCAACTAAAGAGTCTGATTTTTCTGCACGACATGGTTTAATTCAAAGACAAGAGGAAAAGAGGGCCTGTATTACTCACCTGGATATTTGAGCTACCACGGGAAAATTTTCCCTATGAAAGAAACTTTGCCAATATTTACAGATATTGAGTCTTCTTGTTCCAGACCAACTGAAACTTTAAACATCTCTATCCACGCATGCTACTGGTCAATTATCAACATCCTGAGCCTCCTGGTAATGCAGAGGAAGCTGTTTTAAGTGGGGTTTTTTTTTTACATCTTTGACCCTGGAAGAAGGTCAGTCATTTATTTGGCGAAACTTTATAGCACTCCATGCTAGGTACCTACTGGCCAACTATCATTGCCCTTGACCTCCTGGTTATTCAGAAAAAGTTGTTAAAAGGTGTTTATATATTTGATGCCTGTGACCTTGAAAGTAGGTCAAGGTTTTTTATTTGAAGAAGCTGATATCACTCTGTTAATAATAATAATAATTAATAATTGGAGGTTCTTATATACCGCTTTATCACAACCTAGTTCGTAGGTCGTCTCAAAGCGGTTCACAAATTAGTATCCGTGGTTATAGGGCCTTTGCAACTAGCCAGTACATTTCTCAACTCCCTGGGGAGCATACAGCCGGAGCTGCCATTTCGGCGCTAACAGCTAGCATTCAACAATTCTAGACTGGAACAAGCGGAGTAAAATATCTTACACAAGGATACAACACATTGCCGTGCCGTGACGCGAACCAGCAACCCTTCGGTCACAAGCCCGGCGTCCTACCAGTGGACTACCGTGCCTCCTGTTCCAGGTACATACTGGCCAAATATCATGGCTCTAATTCCTCCAGATCTCAAGGAGAAGTTATTCAAAGAAAAAATTGATGGACAGACGATGGAATACACACCATACCATATGTTCCAGATGAGCTTATATAAAAACAAGTCAATTTGATCATATTTTTCTTTCTATTTTATTTCAAAACTTAATACCAAATCAATCTTTAGTGGTAAATAATGTTGACGACCATCTGTTAATAGACAAGGCTATGCAGTGGAGATTTCAACAAGTACATTGAATCAGTACATGTATATACGTCAGAGTGACTTCCTTAAACTTTTTCTCTTTTGATTTAATGACATGTAAAACTAAACTTTTTTCTCATTTTTCAACTTTGTTTTACTTTCACTTGAGAAAAGTCAATGCCGTGTTACTAAATTGTAATTAGTTTTCGCAATATGCGTACTAATTATATGGATTCAAACGATCACTTTTATTCAGATATTATAAAATCAGGTCAATTATGTGTAAATTGAGCAACAGGAAATCAATGACAGAACCACATAATGATTAGAAAGGGCATATTCAGATGTGAACCAAGAGATGTCTTTGTGAAAAATAGTTAGTATTACACCCCTCAGAGACCAGATCTTATCTTACCAGGTCTTGTCAATATCAATAATAGCTCATGATGCAGTTATTTAAAAAACAAAATAGTTTCTTATTCAAAAATAAACAGTTGATGATATTATACATAAAAATGGGATGAAATGAGAGAAGGTAGCAACAATTAAATAACATATGAACTGCTATATAAATGCTAACACCAATTAAATGTTTTGAACATTTTTACACAAATGAGGATTTCACATAGAAGTTGTGCTGCTGTCATGATGTCAGACCGGCATGCGAGAGGTTGTATTTGCGAATAAGTCCATCTCTACAACACGTGTACATATGGCTCCCATCACTGGACACACGATAAATTGGATCACAATCTGAACCCGTCAATTCTACAGTTGTCTCCCCTTGACTGTCCACATAACAACACGAGCCGTCTCCTGAAATGAGTTTCAGTATTAGAGGTATTATGAGAATTGGGAAAGTTAAATTAAAAGTTCTATATTGCAAACTACTTGTATCTTAACTACACTAATGCTAGTTACTGTATAATATTTTTTCTGAAACACTACACAATTTACTCTGATTTCCAAATAAATTCTTTAAATAATAAAAAGAACTATGTATTAAATTAACACAATTTAAACACTTAGTATTTTACAAGCAAAACAAAATGTCTTCAATAACACAGTTTTCTTCTTGCATAAATATTCTCAAATAAACTCTGCTGTTGATTTTTTTTTCATTTCGAACTCATTTTTTTCAATATTAAATTAGTACCAATTAGAAAGGAAAATGTGTTTTTAAACAATAGGCTTTTTAAGATTATCTGTTTAAAATATTCCATTTCTTTTAAGCAAGAGGAATACTACTGGTAATATATTATGACAGGAGTGTTACATGTTGCTGTCTGTACCTGCTGAAAAGAAGAATCCCTGTGAGAGAGGACACAAGGAAAGTATCGGTCCTCTTGTATCCTTCCATTCCTTTAAAGGCACTCTGGAAATTTAAACAATGACAAAATGTACCAATACAAATTATAAACAACATTGTTGCTACATTTGAAAAACCATAACCTATGTTCCGCCTTCAGCAACAAAGTGCCTGCAGGACAAAAGGATCATTGGTCTCAAACATCAATCAATGCATCCAAATCATACATATAGTTTGATTCAGATCCACATAATCCTTTATGTTTTCTCATACAAAACTCCAACACCCATATTTCACTGACAACAGCTCCCAAATTTTAAAGTTCAATTCAGGCTTAAAAGTTGTAAACCAGATCAGGTATTGAAATCAAAATGTACAATGCATACCCCTAAAAGCCCTTTAACAATTTCTACAGATAGATAAACCCAAACAGTAACTATGGCAACCATCAGACATGTTACCTAACGTTCCTGTAGTCCACCACCGTCACATGTCCATCCTGTGTCCCACATATGGCGCTCACGTCGGACAGGTGACAACAGCAGTTGACAGCATCGTGTGTCGGTAGTTCAAACACCTACAACAAGAACTCTTATCAATAAGTATAATCCACTTGTGTTTCTACCAATTCTGCAAACAAATTCAAAATGTTTCGTAAGTCTCCTTGATATTGGTCATGTTGCCCAGACATAGAGGCAAACAGAAGAAGTAGGAACATGACTAGGTATAACTCTGTAAAAATGGTTGGAACAAAAAAAAACTCAAAATGTTATTCACAAAAACCCAATTCACTGGTAGGCCTAAAGTGAAAACAAATCCATTGACATCAGTCTTGTTAGTTGTTAAGAAGGGAGGCACAGGCAAAATGTCAAATTACTGGTATAGCACATAAAAGGGCGATAACTCTGCCAAACTGGCAACACCAAAATTAAAGAGATCAGATGTACAAAGTTTCACTGAAATCAGACAAGATCAAATATTGTCTACTGACAGATGAACACATAGATTGTAGGGACGGATGGACATAAAGCTACAGATAAGATGGATTATAGACAGGCAGACAGACAGACAGACGATACCCTATACTAACTCCATTATGGCTTGTATCATAATGACAGGTGTACAACTTACCTTTTTTCTGCTCTGCAGACCATACCCCTGTAATGTCTTGTTTTCACAGCCAAGCAAGAGTAGCTTCCCTTCTGTCAGTACCTCTCTGTCACCTGTAATCATCAAAAAAACAGCATTCTTCTGATTACCCTTCAATCTCATGTAACACCTTATGGTAAATGTAGCACTTGGAAAACTCTTTTCTGCTGCCTGTTTGATTAAATGTTAAAAGTCACACATATATAAAACTGGTAACTATTCATTTAGATGGTGCATTTTTAGCAGATTCACAAAAAAGGTGGGTGTTTTTACCTTTACCGACAACAAATTAAAACAAATTGAACTTGAGTTAATTGTGTATCCACATGAATGTATGCCGTAAAATTTCACAAGAAAAGGGATTAACACAACAAGAACTATTCTAATGAAACCTTCTGATACTTAACACTGTTCGTAAGTTATCTGTAACATCTAATATTAGCTGTCAGAAAGTGAGATAGTGTGAAAGCTCAAGCTTTATATATTCCACTATTTCCATACATTTAAATGTTTTTTCTTGCACTGTTATATTCACTCTGTGTTAAAAAAAAATCTGTTTCATACTTGATCACGAATGTTCAGAGTCAGGTTAAGCGTACAAACTTTTCTAATTGGAAAATGGGAAATTATTACTGCACAATTAAGCTTGTATACAGTATCAGCTGATCTGATACTTACTAGGTGGAGATTCCAGCTGTCCCAGTTCCCCACAGACTACTGCAGGGACACCAATGCTGCAGCAGTTGACCTCGCCCCCACAGTCAGAGAACACGCCTAAACACTCCTGCTGTCCCACATCCCAGAGACGTGCTGTTCCATCCCGCCCACAGGACAAAACATTCCGTCCTCGATCTACAATTGCTGTGTCTTGGATACCTACAAAAAACATCCATCAAGGTTGCATTTGTACACTCAGAACACTGTTGATATATTTCATCTCTACATCCTTTTCATAAATAGCACAGTTGACAGTGGTATGGGGATCCTTCAATTTTAAATGCTTTTTACAACATATAAACTTATCTTTTTCAGGTTTTGATAAAGCTCTTTTAAATTTTAACATGTACCTACCAGCCCTGTGGCCAATGAGAGTTACTGCACATTTGCCTGTCTCAGCCGACCAAATTTTGAGCTGCATATCCGAGCCCCCTGACAGTACCACCAACCCAGAGGGGAAGAATCGACAGGTGCAAACGTCACCAAGGTGACCCTCCAACTCTCTCTATAACACAGGTGCAAACATCACAATCAGGAGATTTTCTAACCTTACTGTCAGTCCAAATTCTCATCAACTTGAGGTGAGGACCCTCAATCACAAACTTGTTCGAAGTTTTGTGTTCTGAATCTTTGCATGTTTCATCCAAATCAGAACAAAAATTTAGATTTTCTCTTTATAGTTACAGTGACCTTAACCTTGGGATCTTCATCTTGAAATGCAAATTTGTTAGGAGGTATTTATGCTTGTCACAGACAAATGAAAAGTGAAGCTTTAGAGCAATGATGCTGATGTGTGATGCATGGTTGAATGTACATGTATGTATGCTGTACAATTCCTCCTTTAATGCAAGGTCATGAAAATTAATTTTTTCATAGATTGCAATATTTAGATATATATATATATACATTCAGTCTTAAGTGATTAATTTTATAAAACTTATTTGTGTAGGGGGCGGGGGCTGAAAGCTTAAGCCAAATACAACTGTACAACTGGCAAGAAAATAGTTGTTTTTAATAACAAACAAATTACCCTGACTTCTCCATTACTTGTTTGCCAGATCCTCAGCTTCCCGAGACTATCAGCCGACACCCCAAGTCCACCAGGTGTAGTATCTACACAGGAGATCTAACAAAACACACACATGCAATCTTGCACAATCTTGAACACATTTTTTAACAATTTGATCACAGTCGCCTGAGTGAATAGGAATCTCATTTTCGATTTTCAATATCTGATGTGATATCATCTGATGTTAAGTTATTTCTTTATTTTTCATAACAATTATCAAATGGTGTCCATTTATGATTTTTGCATCCTGTTTTAATATGAAGCTGAATTAAAGTCACCAATTATCTTAGAGATCATTCTGTAAATGTCCATAATTATGGGGGGTTTTCACAGAACAATATGATTACACAGACATCTGTACAACGATGATGTCCCATTTAGGGTGATACTTACGATCTTTCCTGGGGTGTGTACAGTTGAAAAAGTGAGTTGAGGAGCCAGAAATCTCTTAGTGAGCTCAACAGAATCACTTTTGTACAAGACTGATATTGTTTTCTGGAAATGAAGTTGAAGTGATAAATGAGTGGAGGATAAATCTGAATTCTTATATAATGTATGTACGTACTACACCACAGCTTTAGAGAAATAACTTCAGAACAAATTGCTATACACAATATATGTACCGTAGGCACTGCTATACTACTTTTCTGAGTCCATATCAAGCATAAAAATTATGTACATATTTGTGAATGTCAACTCCCAAGTAACATTATAAAAAAAAAAAATTAAAACAGATAGAACAGGACGAGATTGCAGGACTTAAACATTTTAATGCAATAATTAACTTTCTTGAAACTATCATGACAGTTGTACATGTTGCCACCAAAATTTTTGGTCAAAGAAGATACATTTTGTGCATAAAAATATTGATTCAATTGGCCCACCTTAGTGACTTCCTGGACAGCAAATCCATCTGACCCTGTGACATAAGGTATACCATCAGATGAGGCTCCCTGGGACGTCAGTTTTCCATGAGTACTTGGCGGTACTGTGAGGCAGTAAACATTCAAGTTTTGTTTACATAATGCATTACTTTTTTTAAGTGATGCTTTTGAAATGAACGCTACATGTACATGTGTAATAGGAAGAAAGTATTGAAATAAATAAATGGGTTCGCTGGAGATCAAACCTGTGATCCCAGACTTTTTGGTTAGACACTAATCTATTGATCATGAGCAAAGGGAAATTCCTTCTATCCGAAGCTAGAAGGCGTCTTTAACACTATATGTACAATGCACATCCTTTACGCTACTCCCTTCTTTTCCAAGTCTTTGCCCTCAAACACAACGATAAACCAGATAATTTTGCTCCTCGCCATGAAGAGTTCTTCCTACATTTGTACCTTGAACAATTGAAATTGGGAGAGAGATTTAATGACATCATTTTGCGGCAGCACGATTTACACAAAAACATAATATATCCATACATATATACTTCTGCTACCTGACATTCGGGACATGTATGTAACGATATGATAGTTTCCTTAATTGGAGAGTTATTAGTAGGGAAATTGTGTGTACTTGTACGATACGAACCGACGATACTTACTCTGTGTTTTAAACGTTATCCACGTTGATTCGTTCGCTTTTCTGAAAATGTCAAGAAATAAATGTAATTTCTTGTATGTTGAAAATATATGGCAACGCTAAAATTGATAATTACGGCAGTACATACCCCAAAACATTATCCCAGTCAGATTGCAAGATCAACCTTCCCATGGGGGCGGCCATTTTGGCGATTATAAAAGGTTGTCCGGTACGTTCCGGAAACAAATTAGAAAATGTATACAGTACTAGAAAATATAGCACTACGGGATCTGTTTGACTCTACACGAGGATAGTTTGACGTTTGAACATCGTCTATAAACTAACAAATACTTACTGGAAGTTCGTCTGGAAAACTTAAGAATTTATAACTCCTTTTGAATTAAACACGACGCATAAATGCGCAGCTTTGCGTAATACACTCACGGACTTACAACTAATTCCGTGATACACCTTTGATCTTGCACAAAATGAAACCATACAAGAAAAAAACATTGATATATTCCATTCCTGACCCAGTTTATTTTTGCTGTGTAGTTTGCCAAACCTTCGAAAGTATTGTCTGTAAGTGAGGCCACACTGCTTGTAAAAAAAAATCTTATTTTAAATTGCAAAATTATGATAAATGATTTATCATAAAAAAACGAAATTAGACTATACAAAAACGAATCTATTATAAATAAATTAAAATAATAAAATCAGTTAATTAAATGACAATGTATATTTTAAATAGTTTAGTTGACATATTGAACAAATCATTAAAAAAAAATGTGCATTTTGAATTTGGCGGTCAAAGAACCTACTTAAAATTATTAGCTAAGCATTTATGCGTGCGGACCATTGTGGATAATTATTCGATTTGACCTTCTTTGATCACTGAATCAAGTTCGGGGCACGGAAATGTACGTCCTCGATATCCAGAGAGCAGAGAGCGAAAGTGAGCGTAACCCCTTGATATCGAGGATGAAATATATGACGGCTACATAATTATATTGTTCACAAATGTTAATCACGAGTCCTCGGTAATTTCACCTTTTTCTGTCGGTAGAGTACGAAATCTCGGTTGCTTCTTAAGGGCGCGGAAACCCATAACACAAGGGTTGGTTTGGTTTGGTTTGGTTTAGTATTGTTAAACGTCCTATCAACAGCTATGATCACTTAAGGACGATCTCCCTGTGTGCAAGATGCAATGTAGTGTATGCGTGTGTGTTTTGGGAGGCTGCGATATGTTCGTGTTTGCTCCTTGTGATAACGCGGAACGGATGCAGAATTTATAGTGCTACCTCACTGAAACATACTCGGTCACATCATACTGACAACGGACGAACCAGTCATCCCACTCCTAAATTGCTGAGCGTTAAGCAGGAGTAAAAACTTCCATTTGTACAGACTCTGGTATGTCTCAACCAGGGGACAGAACCCAAAGCCTTCATCACAAGGGCGAACGCTCAACTAAAGACCAAAAGCGAGGCATTGTCAAGGAAGTTCTTTTAGAAAGAAGAGAAAAGATAAGATCCCAAATGTAATCGCCTCTTACGATCATGCAATGGGGCAGCAGGTACAATTCTTACGCCCTACCTGCAGGGACACAATACACAAGGATACTTGTAACAACGGATGTAGTTTATGATGCTTTCACTTTGTTTTGCTGCCACCCAAGCTCAACTTTTGGCTCTCCGTATGCAATCAAAATTCTGATTTTCCTAAAGCGTTGACTTGTATATGTTTTCTTAAAGAAAGAAAAGAAAAGGAACATGTAAATTATATACTTTAATAATGAACATTTAAAAAATAATAAACAAAACACGTAAGACATAACCAAGATAAATCAGTGATTAGCGCAAATTTTAATTTTTGAGTAACTTTAAAAAAAAAATAAAAAAAATACAACTTTACAAATATAAAATATTTAGTAGAGTGAATTTACCTGCAAAATTGAGATTTTACCTTGTATATTGACAAATTTATTAAAGATTGAAAAATGTCGTGATTAAGCTAACCACCTTTTGGCACCTGTGAGATAAAGCACAGAATATATGCTAGTATATCTTAACATCGCTAATTAGCACTCCCTACATGAAGAGTAAATGATAACACTGGATAGAGTTTGTAGATATATACACACGCATTAGAAAATTCTGCCTGAAATTGTCAATTAACTATCCGCTCGACTGTCATCGCTCTTTACATCTCCCAAATCGAATGCAGCCGTCACTATTGAGCGCCTTATCCCAATCTTACCCATTATATCAGCTACCGTACAATAAGTTCATCGGTAATATAACTAACCATGATTTTACAGTAAGTAATCCATAAAATCACATCACATATAAATGTAATCAAAGACGCATGGCTTTATATGTCTCTGGTGTAATCAAGGAAATTACTTGAGAATGGACAGAAACCGTCTCAAAGGCGAACCGTTGATTTACATCCCTATTAACCTGTCTTCACACTGACTGACAATGTCTGTAGAACCAACATCAAGACCAGGACATTGAAACAGGCGGCTGCCATATCTCAATGATATCACTTCAAACAAATGCCAAGAGGAGTAGCCCGGACGATCGTGCTCCACGAAAACTTCAAAAAAAACTGACCAAGAAGGACTAATAGACGTGTTAAAACAAGCAACACTTCTTGCTGATGGAAGCCCCGGTATGGAACTACAAGCGCCGATAGTATAATCTGTGTCACAGAAAATCGTCAAAACACTACCCGAACCCAAGCGAACCATAGCATGAAAAGAATGCTACAAACACGCCGACCAACCTGTCTTGGAAGCATTTTTACGACACGACATTGCAGGAAGAAAAAAAAACTACAGGAAGAAAACAAAATTAGCCTGTATAATTATCTAAAACGTGTAGTGTGTCGACAATTTAGGAATACTGCAACGGCTCGTCTTGAGCAAAGATGAATATGTGCATGAAAGAAAGAAATAAAGTCACGATTTAACCATTTTGTTTAATTACGAAATTGCGTTCAATAGAACTACGCAGATGTACATGTGCGTCGCTACAATGTT